ACTGTTGTATAATTTTATTGTCACTCCTAAGCAGTTGGGTTATTCTTCTGTTAGTTTTCCTTCACTGTATCTTTCTAATGAGTTGTTTGCAAAATTCATCATATGTTGATAGATTTAACATGGGTGCACGCTGCCTCCATCTTACCTACAATAAATACCTGTGTATATCCATGCATGTTTCATACATTTCTACTCACTGGCACCCAGTCAACTATTTTACAAGTGATAATTAAATCGTCCTTGAAGAGGCGTAGCACTAAAATTTCACCCATGTTTATTTCTGTGCTAAAAGTTCTCCTGATTTATTTTTCAGTCTAAAAGACCACTCATGCATAGGCTAGCACAAAATGACTAACTTTGCAATGATAAGTATCTTGCTTTTTAAGCAGTTCCATTCAAATTCTAGTCAATGTTGACAATGAAATCATTCCTTTCTCCAGAGCAGAGGTGCATTCATATTTAGCAGAGTTCCATTATGTTTTAACTTAAAGTAACATCTTTCTTGAACAACTCAAACTTGTGAAATGCTAATGTGGCAGGAGAGTGGGTACGTACCCAACAGTACCCACTACTGATAGTAGCTGCTTGTGACAGGTTGTGACAAAGTTACACAAGCTTTTCCTGACTTACTGCTACTTCCCAGTGAAGAAGGCACTGTTATGCTGGATGAAGATCCGGGCTAATTTACTTTGACTCAGACTTTTGCAGCCTACATCTCCACATAATCAACACTCTCTCCACTAAAATTGCAACAAGGCCTCATTTTGATGCCAAATGTGGCAAATTTCTCATGACCAACAGAGTTCAAAAAATTTGGATAAAAATTTGCACTCTTATGTAGTGACTGTTGTTGGAGATTATGAAAGTGCTACACAATCATCAGTTGGTTTCATTACATGAAACTGGTGCAAGTGGCATCATACCTATATCACTTTTTTTGGTATTTAAGCAAATATTTTTACAAGTATGAAAAAGACAGAAAAAGGCATCAGGCTTAGTTTTTACATAACCTATCAGTTCAAATCATATTAAAATAGATCATTGTGCTGAAACATGTAGCAGCCAAGTTGTATTACCTAAAAATAAGTCACAAGGGCCTACAGAATTACTTTTCATTTTTTAATTAGACTTTTTTT